CGCCCACCTATTGCCGAAAGTGTGCCACCAAATGACAAAATGTGAGAGGAAGTCATACCCCTGAGTCGTAATAACACTGGTCGTTCAGTATACTTTTAAACGATATACATTTTTTGGTCGGCGTTTTTTCTTTTTTTTTTTGTCAATTTTTTTTTTTTTTTTTTTTTTTTTTGAAAAGAGAGAGTTTTTAAGATGTTGTGTTGTGGGCAGTTGCAGTGAAACGTATAGTCATAGTGTATGTATTTACACGTTTCTAATCGATTCCAAGGGTGCGACATCACTTAACCTTAAGATTCTTTTTTGGGGGGGAAAAACTGTCCTCGTCCGTGAAAAAAAATGACTAGGTTTAAAACAAAACGCCAACAACGTAAACCTGGCACAACACTTTTGAAAGAAATAAGATTCCGGACCAGCCCATGATCACCGAGGCGGATTTCAAAAGAAGAAGGAGGACGTCCGGCAAGTGTTTCAAATCAGTTGACTTTTTTTGCGATCCTGATTATCGTTTTATAGAGACCCTTGTTAAGTAAAAGGTAAGCAATAATTTTGACAGTAACATGAAAATGAAGTGTCGGACAAACAGGAAATTACACAGCCCTTACACACTGCTAACTGTTTTCATTTTCGAAGGCTAAAAGTTTCTGAATTGTTTGGTGATTGGTGTTGAATGTCAAATTCACACCTCTGTCCTTTTTTACCTCCATGCTTGCAGCTTGATCTGCGTAATAATTTATGAAATAAGAATCCGGGCTTGGTCAATGTGTTTCCACCAAATAAAGTTTTAATACGATGTTATAATTATGACAATCACGCCATGGATCACGCTAACTCGAATCCACTCTGAATTTATCTGTATGTGTGTCGATCTCGATTATTTTTGTTATCCGATTAAACGCCGCTTTTAACGCACTTGCCCTCTCCATGACTCGACGCGTTCACCTATTTCAACAAAATGTCAATTTATTTCCACGCGGCTGTCATTTATTTAGTAACTGTGATTTGTCGTTTTTTTAATTATTTTATAGTGATCACTGTAGTCTAATGTTTAGAATGTTAGGAATATGTTCTCTTTTATTT